TAGGGTTTCGACCAAGTGTTTTTATCCACAGATTTTCCACTAATACTCTTATTTTAATTTCATATCTTGCAATAAAATACGATTTAAATATGTATATGTATATATATGGCTGCAAACGAAACTTATTTGCTTGGCTCGTGGCCTTCTACAGCTTTCAATCGACGCTATTACAAACTCATCTCTTTCTTGGAAAAAGCAAATGAGGCCCAAAGACTTTTAAAGAAAATGTCTTCTTTCGGTGGATGCTCTAGTCACAATTGCCCCCACTATATCTCTACACTTGTAAGTTGCAATGTAATCTTTTCAAGTTTTTATCATAACCTGTTTTTTTTTTTTTTGGTTATATATCGGTACGTATGAGCACACGAACATTCAACGAACAAAATTATGTGATAAGGGTTAGAAACTGATCCAATATGAAAACTAATGTGATAAGGATTCGAAAATGAATGTGAGAGGAATTTGGGTGGACCACTGTATGTGGTCCATGACAACGAGACATGACGGTCCACGAAATATTATCTATGACATGTCGACATTGCGATTGCATATTTAGGTTCGAAACTAATATCCAAATTTGTGTGATTAGTTGCCAAAAACAAGGTGATTTAACTTTAACTCATAGTTTTAAAACCGAAAAATCAAGGAGTAGCTAGTTAGCTAGAGTCGGTGATAAATTATTTTATAACACACACATAAAAAAAAACCTAACGACAGTAGCTTATACTAGTCGACATTTGAATTAAATGCGATGTGGAAAATGCCGGAAAAAACTATAATGATGATTTCTCGAGATCATTTCCACTCGGTTTTAATGAGACTCTGACGTAAAAAAAAAGTTGAATTCAGATTTCAGATAATTATGAATCTATGTATATTCATGTCGATGATAAACTCATAATAAAAGCATCGTATAAAACAGATAACTTTAATTATTTTGTAATCTTAACTTTTTAATACTACTACTCTATTCGCTGAAAGAAACATGTACATGGGGTGTGTGTGATTTTTTGACAAAAACACCCTTAATCATTTGGTCAAGAAGAGTTTCAGGATAAGGTACAGATCAGAAATCACCTCTAAAAATCCAGCAATAGATCTCTCTCACCTTCACAGACAAAATCCAACCGAGTTGGTGGGTCCTACAAACAATCAACTCGCTCTTCTGACAACTCGCCACGTGTCTCTCATCCTGATCGGTTTCAGTAGTATAGCCCCCACCGAATCATTTC